GGCAGTAAGTTGTGGGGCTGAGCCCCATGAGGCCCCACTGCAGCTACGGGCCCAGTTGTTGGTTTTGATACATCTCTAGCCAAATGAACACACACATCCTTCTTTGCTTTTGAATCGTGCCATCCCAGGACTCCTCGGGGAGAGAGAAAGGCAAGTTATTTGAACTGAACCAGTTTCGGTTTGCGACGTGTTCAGATCTGCCCTCTGTCGAGGGGCAAGGAGAAGAGCTTTCAGACCGGGTACCAAATCCCGGCAGCAATTAAGCTTTCAGTGAGGATAATTAGACGAGGGAGTTTTCGGACGCAAGGGTCCCTTCTGAGCGAAGGGAAAAAACTGAACTGGAACAGCCTGGAGCTAAAGGGGACCTCCTTAGCAAAAAAAAGAGGAGGAGGAGCTGCTGGAAATTAAGTTTTCAGTGCGGTGCCAAAGGCCAAAGCCGTTCCAGCAATTCACTCAGGATTCAAGTTACGGGACTGCGGAAAAGCCGGTCTGCATCGCAGTCATTAAAAATAGAAAAACAGAAGAGGCTGGTGGCCAGTGTTCTCTCTAAGCTGGGTCAGTGTGAGCTAGCTCACAGTTTTTTAGCCTCTGGCCCACGCATTTTTGTCTCAGCTCAGGAAGGACGGCTCGAGAGCAGGCTAATTTGCGCAGCAGCCCAATCGCCCGCTCACAACTTTAATGCCAGGAGCTGACAAAGTAGGATTTTTGCTCACAAGACTCCACAACTTAGAGGGAACATTCCTGGTGGCGTCTTAAGAGTAAGGCTACTATGGGAGCTTTGGCGGGATTGGATATTCATTGGGTCACGTTCAGTGTTCAACATGGCCGCCAGGCAGGGATGCCAGCCTCCAGGTGGGACCTGGGGAACCCCCGGAATTACACCTCATCTCTAGACTACAGAGATCAGTTCCTCGGAGAAAATGGATGCTTTGGAGGGTGGACCCTGTGGCATTAGTCCTGGCTGCAGGGGTATTTTTGGGCAGGAACGCACAGGAACCGAGCTCCGGCTGGCTCCCGAGTTGGCCACGCCCAGCAGGAACCCGTTAGCATAATAGGCCACACCCAAGAGCAGAAACTCATTAGGATTGGCTACTTTAGGGGTGTGTGGCCTAACATGCAAAGGAGTTCCTGCTACAAAAAAAAAGGCCCTGGGTTTTGACAACAAACAAGGTAAACAGAATAAGAAGCAAAAGGTGCGTGTGGCTGGATGACCACACTTCTGGTAACATGGGGGTGCGGCCTAATATGCTAATGAGCTATGCTGTCAGGGGTGTGGCCTGATATGCTAATCAGCTTCTGCTTTTCTGCTCTTGGGTGTGGCCTATTATGCTAATGAGTTCCTGCTGGGCTTTTTCTGCAAAAAGAGCCCTGCCTGGCTGAGTTCCCTGTCGTCCTCAGGCTACACCCCCAAATCTCCAGGAGTTTCCCAACGGGGGAACTCTACTCCTCCACCTCCTGCCGGTTTCCCTTCTAATTGTACCTTTGACCTGTTCCTTAGAGTTGCCACCACTGTTTAATTGAATGGCAATTGGGGAAGAGAGAGGAGGGGGGGACGGCTCTTTGACCGCCTCCCCAGGCCTCAGATCTCCAAGCCAATGTTCCTCCGTAATATGCACAGTTCAGAGTGAAGGTGGACTGATCTGACCAGAACGCCCTCCCCAGCGCACAGCGGGGAAGAGCTTGCATTAGCGGCTTTGTTTTGGAGGCCTGTCTTTGCTCATACCAGGCAGAGCTTGCTGTGACGTCACGGAATGTTCACTGGTATTCCAACACTGGAAGGAGAACATTTCAGCAAAGGTGATGCTTCTTGACTCCAGCTTTTCAGGTCCTAGGGCAGCAAGCGGATATTTCCAGGCTGAGAACTAGAGAGCTCCGGTTCAAATTAGGACGTATTTTAAGCATTCTTCAAAGGGGGAAAGTGTCTAAATTAGGAGCGGGTGGATATAGAGTCGCTAATACGCCCCTTCTCTGAGGCTAGCGGAGGAAGGTACGGGATTAATTTTAGCGTTCGATGTCATAGAATCATAGAATCATAAAATGGTAGAGTTGGAAGGGACCTTGCAGGTCATCCAGTCCAACCCCCCGCACTCTGCAGGAGCATGGCCGAAAGATAGCCCTACAACCTACCCAAAAGATGGTCATCCAGCCTCCATTTGAAAACGTCCAGCGCAGGAGCATCCGCCACCTCCCGAGGCAGTGTGTTCCACGCTCAACCACTCTTACAGTTAGGAAGTTTCTCCTGATATTTAGCCGGTATCGACTCCCTTGTAATCTAGTCTTGCAATCTGGAGCAAGAGAGAATAGATCTGCTCCATCTTCTACATGACAGCCCTTCAAACTTGTCCTACCAAGTGCAAATCAGTGAGGGAAACTCCTGACCAGTGTTCCCTCTAAGCTGAGTTAGTGTGAGCTAGCTCACAGTTTTTTAGCCTCCGGCTCGCAGGTTTTTGTCTTAGCTCAGGAAGGATGGCTCCAGAGCAAACTAATTTATGCAGCAGCCAAATGGCTCGCTCACAACTTTAATGCCCGTCGCTCACAAAGTTGAATTTTTGCTCACAAGACTCCACAGCTTAGAGGAAGCATTGCTCCTGACTATAAAGATCTGCAAAACCGATAAACATGAACAGCTTAGGATCTTGCCGGACAACTCCGGCATCTGCTACTAAATGCTCTCCCTCCCCATATTGCTATCACAACCAGATGGCCTCATCCCCCAGGCGGGTTGCTGCATTCTCAGCGACTCCTACACACGGCTGTGTACTCTGAGTTCCTTCTGGATGAAATGAGCTTTCTAAATCTGGACTGTATCATTATTGTGTTATCGATCGGGCTTTCCGAAAGTTAATAACCTCTCAGGAGATGAAGGCCGCCTTTAGGATATTTAGAAACCGCAGAATGCGAGATTGACAGCGGACAGGAGTGCTGAGACCGTAGAAGAGACAGGTTCTATTATTTCTTGTCTTTCGGGCGGCTGAAGGTTATATGATCTAGACACTAGATAAAAAAGAGAGGGGTAAGAGAAGGTAACAGACAGGGGTCAGGGGAACTCCGGTGTCTTCTCTTGGGAGATGACCTCTCCCTACAAACTTACCGTATTTTTAACGTATTGCGGGGGGAGGTGGGGGGGGAGAAAGCATACAGATTTTTAAAACAACGGGTCAGTTCATGAGCCGCTCTTCGATTAAAGTCAATTACAAATCACACAGTACCAAAACCCCCCCCCCCCCCCAGTAATAATCTTGAGTACTTGGCAATCAGCGGATGCAATGCCATTTGGCGATGACACGAGTAAGAAGATTTGTTTTCCTTAATCCCTTCTGCCGACAATATATCGTGTTGCTATAAAGCTTAGTAGTCGCCCCAACGCGGAGTATCATTTCGATACCTGACATGGTTTATTTGGAAGCGCGCTGATTAAAAGTATCGATGGGAAACAATTCGGGAGAGCCGCGAGCTGCCGGTGAAATCTGCTCCGTTGCCGGAGTTTAAACCTGGAAGTTCGGCATTGCAAAAAAACACAGACACGCGTGAAGGTGAATCAGATCCTTGGTCGATCGAGGTCAGTATTGTCTACTCGGACTGGCAGGGGGCTCTCCAGGGTCCCAAGCTGGGGGTCTTTCACATCACCTCTGACTTTATCCGTATTTAGCTGAAGATGCCGGGGATTGAGTTGAGCCTGGGACCGTCTTCACGCCACGCAGATGCCCTACCATTGAGCCACGGCCTCTCCCCTGGAGGAGCATCATGGGGGGTGGGCTCCACCAGTCGGAGACTTAAACTGGTTTCCAAGTCGTCCCATCTCCCCAAAATACTGTCATTGTCTCGAGAGGATCTAAAGGATCTCTTGCAGGATTCTCTCAGCGCCTCCCCCAAAATTGGTCTAAAACAGATAATATATACTGTAGGTCAGGGGAACCCAAACTTTTGACCCTGCAGGCAAAATGGCTGCCATGGGAGGCGGAGCCAAACAAAGGGGATTTAAGTGCAGAGAAGAGGGGTAATTTAAATATATATATACCGGGAAAGATGAGTGAGAGAGAATAAAACAAACATTGTGATGGCAGCTGAAACAATGTTATTTTAACCTGCCTAGCCAAGTGGCCAACTAGAAGCCATGCTGCAGCAAGATAACCAGCTTGTCCCTCCCATCTTTTAAAAGCATTCGGTGGGCACCAAGAAGGGTGTTTGCGGGTGTCAACCGGCACCCTGTTGGAAACCCCTGGTGTAGGTGTGTGTGTATATATGTATATCAGTGTTCCCTCTAAGCTGAGTTAGTGTGAGCTAGCTCACAGTTTTTTAGCCTCCAGCTCACACATTTTTGTCTTAGCTCAGGAAGGAGGGCTCCAGAACAAACTGATTCATGCAGTAGCCAAATCGCTCGCTCACAACCTTAATGCCAGTCGCTCACAAAGCAGAATCTTTGCTCACAGGACTCCACAGCTTAGATGGAGGATTGGTGTGTGTGTGTGTGGCTATTATGGTCTTGTGGATGCAACACAGAAAACTTAAAGGAGCAGAATCGCTTCTACCATGAGGTTCTTAAGAGCTGGAAGTATCTGTCTGTTCCATAGGCATCTATCTGGTGGTGGGTTCCTCCCTAAATGTCCAACCGTCTCCTCATTTTTTATTTTTTATCAATTTTTTTAATTTTAAAGACATAACAAGCATAAAAGAGGGGAAATTATTCTTACAATTCCTTCTTTGACGAACTCATGCCTAATTTATCATACATTTATATATTCCACCTTATATCATTATGTATACCACTTGCAAACATATCAAAGTTGTACTTTATATGTCCTTAACAAGTTTTGAATGTCTGTATAATTTACTTATTGTAGTCTTCCAGCCACTTAAAAAATCTCGACCGTGTATTTTCAAATGTGGTTTCTGGTTGTCCTTTCAAAATTAGCATCAATTTGTCCATTTCCGCCATTTCCAAAAAATTTCTTAAAATTTCTTCTGGCTTTTTAGGTTCAGCATCAGTGAGGATGTGAAACATGGCTGACAGCTCTCGAACAGCATTGAGCCCTTCTGCGGCAAAGCCTTTTTCCCATGTCGGCTCCCAACAGGTGAATGTTCCTTTCGGCTCCCAAGAGGTGGCTTTCACACAGAAAGGAGGAGACTGGGAAGGCGTGGATGGGAATGAACTGATCTTTGCCTTGGATAACGACGAGGAAGAAGCCGTCGCTGATCCACCGGAAAGCTTCTCCCTGTGCGAAGATACCGGTCAAGAGGAAGCCCAACATGCAGGCGCCACCCTCCATGTGCCGCCCCCTCTCCCCTCTCCTCCCGACTCCGATTTCCTGCCCGCGGCTCCCCTTTCCAGCTCTCCTAGTTTCCCACCTCTGAGATCGACCGGGCTCATAAACCCGCAAGGCCCCAAACCGCTCATCAACCTCGTGAAGTCCCTCTCGACCGAGATCGAGTCCCGAGACAGCTCCTCCCTCAAGCCCCAGCCTCTGCTCAGCCTGGTCAAATCCATCTCCACCGAGATCTCCCGCCTGGAGCCCGAGGTGACTCAATCGAAATCGGACTCCAAGCTCAACGTCCACCGGTGGCGCCAGATCACCCAACCCAAGGGCAAGAATGGGGACTCCAGGACGGCCCCCTCTTCGCCCAGCACGTCCCCTTCGGATAGCAAAGGCAGCTTCTTCAAGGCCCAGGAAGCCAAGTTTGAAGACACCAAACGGCGGTTTTCGGAGGCCATGCAAGAACCGCTCAGTAGACTCAGCAAAATCATAGGAGACGAGAACAACACTTCTCCGAAACACAAGTCCGCCCCTTCGGGCAACCACGTCCTCGAATCTTCTTCCAGCCTCCGTAGAGATCTCTCCGCCTCGGAGGCCAAAAGCGAGGGCCACAGCTATCAGCCCAGCCGAAGGAGTCAAGGGGAGGAACGCTTGCCCATGGAACAGAAATGGGGCCCTTCCTCGAACTGCCAGTACGAGATCTGCTCCTACGGCGACGTCATCCAGGTGGTCGAGGTGGCCCAGGAGAAAGGGTCCGGCGAGGGTGACGTGCGGACAATCCGCCCCCTGGAGGTCTTGTGCCCCGCTCAGCCCCGTAGCACAGTGCCGTGCAAAGCCCTCGCCTGCATCGCCCTCCTGGCCTACAATTACTTTGTCCTTCCGCTGCCCCCCTATGTCTCTGGCCTCCTCCTTGGCTTGGCTTGCGGGTTCATGTTGGGCTTCCTGATCATCCTCCTCTTGGTGCCAAAGCGCTCCCTGTCTCGGCGGAGAATGCGGCCTCCTTGGGACAAGATGCCGTCGGAGACACTGATTCGGCAGCCCCGAGAATCCAACGTGCTTAAGGTAAGCGAGGCCACGCATCTCCCTCTCTGGAGGCCTAATGCAGAAGTTTGCCCTTTTATCCGCTTGCAAATATTTGGATTTGGATTCTCCTACATTTAGAAAAAAAGTATCTGCTTCCAACCTTTCTAAGGACAAGTGACGCTGGTTTTAGGAAACATAGGGAACAGCGTGCAGCAGACCCTTTGAAATTCCCCCGCTTACCCCGTAAATGTACTTTGCTATCTGCGACCGTGATCAGAGATAGGCAGAAGAGGAAAGAATCGGGCTTGACGGATGTTCTGTTCATGGGACAGGCTGGGGTTGCCAGCTCTGGGTTGGGAAATACCTGGAGATTTGGGGGGGGAGCCTGAGGGAGGGCGGGTTTGGGGAGCGGAGGGACCTCAGCAGGATAAAATGCCATAGAATCCATGCTTCAAAGCAGCCATTTTCTCCAGGGGGACTGATCTTGGTCGTCTAGAGATCAGTTTGAATAGCGAGAGCCAGTTTGGTATAGTGTTTAGGAGTGCGGACTCTAATCTGGGAGAACGGGGTTTGATTCCCCACGGCTCCACATGCAGCTGCTGGTGTGACCTTGGGTCAGTCCCAAGTTCTCTCAGAGCTGTTCTCTCAAGGGCAGTCTTCGAAAGAGCTCTCTCAGCCCCACCTACCTCACAGGGTGTCTGTTGTGGGGAGGGGAAGGGAAAGGAGTTTGTAGGCCACTCTGAGACTCCTTCGGATAGTGAAGGGTGGGGTATAAATCCAATCTCCTCCTCCTCCTCTTCTTCTCTGGGAAAGAAGGTCTGTCAAGTACGTGGGATGTGGGTTGGGAAGGGCTTGATAGGGTAGGACCTTGGACTGAACTCAGAACAAATAGACAGGTTCTTCCAGAGCTGTTTTCTCAACAGCAGTCCTTGGAAGAGCTCTCTCAGCCCCACCTACCTCACGGGGTGTCTGTTGTGGGGAGGGGAAGGGAAAGGAGATTGTGAGCTGCTCTGAGACTTCTTCGGCTAGTGAAGGGCGCGATATAAATCCACTCTCCTCTTCCTCTACAACCTTCCAAAGGTCATGTGATGCTGGTTTTAGGAAATATGGGAAACAGTGTGCGGCAGACTCTTTGGAGCCCCTCCCCCCCCGTAAACTTACTTTGCTATCTGAGAGCCACAAAGCTCTTCTGTTTTTCTGAAATTCTTGTGGGGCTGTCCCTTTAAGAAAGGGGGCGGAGCCCCAAATAGCTCCACCGTAGCTACGGGCCAGAGTGCAGGACATCCTTTCTGTATCTCTATCCATCCTAGCTAGTTAGACTAGATTAGAACCCTGTCTCTCCTCTATCCTGTCCAGAATGGAGCTCCTTACAATAAAGGAGTCATATTAGCTTTTGCAAAGATAAAGAGGCTCCGTCGGTAATTTTCTTTCTGGTCAGCACACACAAACCAGATAGACTCTGTTGCGGTATGTGCCTTTTAGGTAAAGGTAAAGGTTTCCCTTGCTCAAAAGCCAGTCGAATCTGACTCTAGGGACGCGGTGCTCATCTCTGTTTCCAAGCCGAAGAGCCAGCGCTGTCCAAAGACGTTTCCGTGGTCATGTGGCCGGCATGACTAGACGCCGAGGCACATGGAACGCCGTTACCTTCCCACCGAAGCGGTACCTATTTATCTACTTGCAGTTTCTTGCTTTCGAACTGCTCGGTTTGCAGGAGCTGGGGCCACAGACGGGAGCTCATTCCGTCATGTGGCACTCGGGTCTCAAACTGCTGAACTACCAACCTTCCGGTCCGCAGTTCAGCGTCTTAACCACTTGAGCCACCGCAGCCCCTTACGTGCCTTTTACCAGACATCAAAATCTTCCAAGACAAATTTCCTGAAGGTTTTTACCTAGAACGCTCTTCTCTCTACCACCGAAAACACATAATTGTACACAGGGGTCATTTCCTGCAGGAGCGCACAGGAGCGGAGCTCTGGCAGTAAAGAGCCAAGGGGGCAGGCACATGCAACAAGCCCCACCCCCTGCTCCCAGCAGCCCTCAGTCAGAGCAAGAAGCGGCCAGGTAAGCTGCAGAGCCCCCCAGTCCGAAACAGTCCAGTGGCACCTTTAAGATCAAGTTTTATTCAGGCACGAGCTCTCCCTCCTCTGCGAGGACAGATCTGCACGTTCCCACCCCCCAATAGCTAGCAATCCAAAACAGTCCCGTGGAGCCTGAGTGTTGCCTTCTGACACACTTCCGCTGATGTCAGGGGGTGTGGCATATGCAAATGAGTTATGCTAATGGGTTATGTTAATGAGCTCCTGCACCTCTTTTTCTATGAAATGACCCCTGCAAACACCCATAAATATCTGCAATACATCATAAATCTGCATGATGTCAACAACCACAGGAAGCCCGAGTCTCTCTCTCCTTTTTAAATTTGTTGAACCCTTTTTAAGAGCTATCTTTCTGCACTGCCGGCCATCTCAACATCCTGTAGCAAAAGACTTCCTGATTGTACATGTCATGGAGCTGGTAACCCCTCCCACTCTAAGCAGAGGTGTTTCTTTCCCAGGGATGGATGAACGAGATGTACTTCTACGATCCTGAGATTTATCACCCATCGCTGACGCACTCCGTGTTTGTGACCCTGGAAGACTGCTCTCTGAAGCTCTCCTACCCCAAAAGCAATATCCCCCGCAGGGCCACCTTTGAGGAAGAGATCCCGGAGGTGGCTTTCGTGAATCACCACCATTACGACCTGCACGGCGCTAAGGTACGGCTCTCGGTTGGGAAACCAAACCAAAACTGAGGTCTGTTTGCTCTCTGTTTTACAGTAGCCACAGATACAGCTGCCTCAGTCTTCAGCAGCAGTGGCAAAGAGCAAGAGTCCAGTAGCACCTTTAAGACTAACACAATTGGTGACGGCAGGGCTATTTTTGGGCAGGAACGCACAGGAACGGAGTTCCGGCTGGCTCCCGAGTTGGCCGCGCCCAGCAGGAACTTATTAGCATAATAGGCCACACCCAACAGCAGAAACTTGTTAGGATTGGCTACATTAGGGGTGTGTGGCCTAACATGCAAAGGAGTTCCTGCTACAAAAAAAGGCCCTGGGTTTTGACCACAAACAAGGTCAACAGAATAAGAAGCAAAAGGTGGGCGTGGCTGGATGACCACACAGCTGGTAACATGGGGGTGTGGCCTAATATGCTAATGAGCTGTGCTGTCAGGGCTGTGGCCTAATATGCTATTGAGTTTCTGCTGTTGGGTGTGGCCTGTTATGCTAATGAGTTCCTGCTGGGCTTTTTCTACAAAAAGAGCCCTGGGTGACGGGAATCACTGCTCCCTTCTTCGATTCAGTCCAGGGAGTTTGCATTGTCATGAGCGTCATGACGAGTTGCGATTCAGCAGCCTCTCTTTCGAATCTCCCCTTGAGATCCCTTTCTAAGAGAACTGCTACTCTTAGGTGAGCAACTGACTGTCCTGAAAAATGTTCCCCCACTGTTTTTTTGAAAGTTGTGGTTCCTAATGTCAGACTTGCGTCCATTAATTCTGTGTTGAAGGGACTGGCCTGTTTGTCCAGTGTGGAGGGTGGAAGGACATTGCTGACATGTGATGGCATCGATCATATTAGAGGATGAGCAGGAATATGGACCTGAGATGATAAGGCTGATGTTGCTAGGTCCACTGATGGTGTTGCTAGGATCTAGGACAAGGCATCCACCTGGACTGAATCAAGACCTAGGTTTCCTGTCTCATTACCAATGCTGATTTCTCCACGCACCTATCACCCCTCTTCGTATCACGCCTAATCCGATCATGCCTGCTATTGTCGTTCACCTGCTATCGTCATTTGCCTGCTAATGTCATTCAGTGTCTGAAATCACTCCGCTTTCCAATAAATTGGACAGATGGGCTCCCATTCTAGATGTATCTGAGGAAGTGAGCACCAACTCACGAGAGCTCCTCCCCTTCCACATATTTTGTTCCTCTTTAAGGTGCTACTTGACTCTTGCTCTTTTCTACTGCTACAGACAGACAAACACGGCTGCCCATCTTAGTCTTCAATAGTGCAGCTCTCAATAGACGCAAGGAATGTGCAAGTCAGAACACAAGGATTTTTTTAAAAAATCACTCCCTAGTTTCCTGGTTGCTGAAGAAGTGTGCATGCACACGAAAGCTTTGCTAGTCTTAAAGGGGCCCCCTGGATTCAAACGTTGTTCTGTTGCTTCAGACAACCACAGCTACCTACCTGAATCTACCCTAGTCCCCACTCCTTTCGAATTTTTGCCTTCAGATTTTTGGACTTTCCTTTCTGCAGACGTAAGGTTCAGAAACCTAACAAACGGAACCCTCAGGGGCCTCAGTTCCATAAGAGTTGATTTGTCAATCTCTGCAGTTTCAAGGATGTTGTTTAAGATGGTTCTTTTCACACCTGCAGGACGGCGAGTGTTTGAACGGCCAAGCCGTCCCGCCTTCCCAAATCTCACCTGTTCCCAGTTCACTCCCTAGGGACCACCCGTGCCGCCCATAACCGGTGGAGTCTGACGTCTCCTGTTGGCATTCCAGGTCTTTCTCTTCCCACCCGGGCTGGCTCGGAAGAGGATGTGGAACAAGAAATACCCCGTCTGCGTTCTCTTGCCGGAGCCGGACGACCCGGGCAGGAAGAGCTCCGGTGAGCACGACGCCGACCCCCAGAAAGAGAAGAGCGCGAAGAAGAGACAGCCCCCTGGCCAGGAGACCCCTCCGAAGCAGCCCGACGACCCCCGGGAAAGGACTCTTTACCTCTTTGGCAGGACGGGGAGGGAGAAGGAGGAGTGGTTTCAGCACCTCACGAGGGCCTCCCGGGCCAAGGGTCCCGAGCCGCACAACGCCAGTCAAAGCGAAACCCGGGCAGGTAACGGAACAGCGGAGCCTGGCCCTACTTTAATGGGCGGTAAGATCAGGGCTATTTTTGGGCAGGAACGCACAGGAACGGAGTTCCGGCTGGCTCCTGAGTTGGCCACGCCCAGCAGGAACTCATTAGCATAATAGGCCACACCCAACAGCAGGAACTCATTAGGATTGGCTACATTAGGGGTGTGTGGCCTAGCATGCAAAGGAGTTCCTGCTACAAAAAAGGCCCTGGGTTTTGACAACAACCAAGGTAAACAGAAATCAACTATTTATTCATTTATTTGATTTATACTAATTAAGGCAGCCAGATTGTGAAGCCAGCTGGTAGAGGACCCAGAGCCCTCCAGACTTCAGTCTCCCCCGCCCCTCTCACGGTTCCCCCTTTTCTCTCTGCCGTAGGTACAAACCAGCTCAGCCCATCGGGGAGAGGGACAAGCAGCAACAGCAGCAGCTGCCGGGGAAGCACGGAAGACCTCCCCTCTTTGTTCAAGCCCAAGGATCTGGTTGGGAACGTGCGGGAGAAGCTGCTGCTGGACTACCACGCCTACATGTCCCGGATCGTCCCGACGGCAAACAGCTCCAGCTCGCCGGGGAGTCCCTGCCCCAGTGCGCCTGGCAGCGGCAGCCTGACTCCCAAAAAGGTGAGGAACCAGCTAGGTGGGGCTGAGGAGAACCCCTAACAAAGGCTTCTCGAGGACGCTTTAGAGCAGGGGTCTTCAACAGGGTGCCCCTGGGCGCCAGTGTGCCTACCGACACCTTTCCTGGTGACCACCAGGTGTTTCTACAAAGCCAAAGTAGGGCCGGATGGGGCTTCTGCCCAGAAAGGCTTCTGATTGGCCCCAGGAGTTTCGATAGGCTGTGTAGGTTTTAAAGGTTGTTGCTTTGGCGGCAGCTGCCACCACAGCACAGGGATCTTTGCAGTGGGGCTGAAGGTGAGCTGTGGCAGCCATTTTGTGGCTGGCTCCACCTCCTGAAGCGGCCATTTTGTGGCAGCACCCAGCACACCTTGTCAGGATTCCAAAGATGCCCACAGGTCTGGAAAGGTTGGGGGGCCCTGCTTTGGAGGTTCTCTGCTATTTGCGTGTGTGGGGGAAGCGAAGAGTCAAAAGGCCCCTTTCTTTTGCACACACACCCTGACGTTTTTCTTGTAAATCTCTCCTTCCCAAAGCTGCTTTTCTCTTGGGCAGGGGGCAGGGAGGCCAGGGGAGTGTCAGTTTGGTGTAGTGCTTAAGTGTGTGGACCCTGACCGGGGAGAACCAGGTTTGATTCCCCACTCCTCCACTTGCAGCTGCTGGATGACCTTGGGCAAGCCATAGTTCTGACAAGAGCTGTCCTTGAAAAAAGAGCAGTTTCTGTCAGAGCTCTCTCAGCCCAACCTGCCTCACAGGGTGTCTGTTGTGGGGAGAGGAAGGGAAAGGAGTTTGTGAGCCACTCTGAGACTCCTTCAGGTAGTGAAGGGCGGGGTATAAATCCAATCTCAGCTCTTGGCCCCGGTCACACGGGCCGGATATTGTGGGGGGGAGGCGTGGCTAATTGCCCCGGTCCAGTTTGATGTGCAATTACACGATCAGACGCGCCGGTGGCACACCACGGGTCCTTCCCTCGGCGCCAGCGGGTAAACGAGGGACCGGAGGGGAATGCCGCACGCCGACGCGATCACACCATGGGTGTCTGGAGGCAGCCCATGGCAAACGTTTACTAGTACCTTGGAGCTACTAGTTTTTTAACGCGCATCTTCGGCGGTAAGCCACGGGTGCGCTCCACTTCCCAGATGTTGGGGTGTGATCGTGCCCGGATAATACGCCCACCTTCCGTGCCTCTCCCGCGGCAACTTTGCTGTGTGACCGGGGCCCTTCTTCTTCATCATCATTCCTCCTCCTCCTCCTCCTCCTCCTCCTCCTCCTCCTCGTCTTCTTCTTCTTCTTCTTCTTCTTCTTCTTCTTCTTCTTCTTCTTCTTCTTCTTCTTCTTCTTCTTCTTCTTCTTCTTCTTGTTTTGAGTTTAAGTTTTCAAGACTTGAAGCTTACCTCCATCTCCCTTTGACGCTCGAACGTTCGTACCCTAAAACTCTTGTTGTCCTTGTCTTGCTTTTCTACAGTAGACCAACATGGCTGCTCTCCTGAAACCACTGGGGAATTTGTGAGGACAAACTAATTCCAGTTCTTTTAGAGGTTGGCGACTCTCCTCTCGGCCGGCGGGTGCTTGTCCTCACACTTTGAGACCCAGCAACATAGGGCGCGACTGACGGTTCTCTCTCGTTTGTTCGGCCCAGTGTCTTGGAGAGGAGAGCGTCGCCGGCGAACCGCAGACGGCGTGGGCCAACGCACTGCTCGGACGGATGTTTTGGGACTTCCTGAGGGAGAAATATTGGGCGGACCAGGTCTCCGACAAGATTCAGAAGAAACTGGGCCGAATCAAGGTGAGGAAGAGGCACTGCCCCCCAGTTTGGTGTCGTGGTTAAGAGTGGCGGACTCTGATCTGGGGGAACCGGGTTCGATTCCCCACTCCTCCACGTGCAGCCAGCTGGGTGACCGTGGGTCAGTCACAAGTTCCCTCAGAGCTGTTCTCTCAAGACAAGTCCTCAAAAGAGCTCTCTCAGCCCCACCTCCCTCACAGGGTGTCTGTTGTGGGGAGGGGAAGGGAAAGGAGATTGTAAACCACTCTGAGTGAAGGGCGGGGTATGAATCCAATCTCTTCTTCTCCTCCTCCTCCTCCTCCTCCCCCCTCCTGGTCAGGCGGACTCTGGCTCCTGGGGTCAGGACAGAAGGAGTTGGCCCCAGCTGAGGTTGCCAGCTCCAAGTTGGGAAATACCTGGAGATCTGGGGGGGTGGAGCCTGAGGAGGGTGGGGTTTGGGGAGGGGAGGTACTTCAGTGGGGTACAATTCCATCAAGTCCTGTTTCCAAAGCGGCCATGTTCTCCAGAGGAACTGATCTCTGTTGCTTGGCGATCAGTTGTAATCCAGGAGATCTCCAGACCCCCCTGGAGGTTGGCAACCATAGACCCACCCACCCCCCAAAAAAAACCGAGAACAGTCCATGCAGGGCCGGCCTCCCATCTCGTTGCTCCTTTCCGTTTCCCGTAAGTGACGGCTTTTGTCTTCCTCCCTTTCGTTCCCACCCAGCTGCCCTATTTTATGAACGAACTCACGCTCACCGAACTGGACATGGGGAGCTCTATCCCGCACATCATCGGTGTTTCCAGCCCAACCGTTGACCATCGAGGTAAGCCCCGGGAGTCCGTGCTTCCCCTCCCGTCGGCTGGGACGACCCACCCCCCCCGACGAAGCGGCCTTACGCCGAGACAGACCACGGGTCTGCCTGGCCCACCGTGAATCGCCCCGATCAGTAGCAACGCTCCGTACTCGTCCCCAGCCCTGAAACCTGAGAATGTTATGAACCTGGGACTTCGTACATGCCCAGGAACCAAAGCTTTATCGATTGGTTGATTGATACTTTCAATTCATGGATCGCCAGTCCTGGCGTTCACAGGGCTCCGGGTGTTGAACAACGATCAAATAAAGTACAATCATAACAGTGTTAAAATTACAGTACAAATTAAACTTTAGAATACTAATTACTCGGCCCCAGAAATGAGAGGCAGTTCCAGTTGGTTTTCTTTTTTTAGGTGAAGCTGGTTTTTCTGAAGAATAAAGTAAATTGGAAGTATGTAATAGTAGGCAGTGAACTGAAGATGTCCAATGTTAAGTTATTATGTAGATACAAGAAGCGGGACCCACGATACTCACAGGGGGGGGGAGTATTCCTAAAGGCTCCTGGCCTGCAGAAGCAGCTCCGCAGGTAAGCCTTCTCCCCCCCACGGGCACCAGCGGTGAGGCCTGAGCACCTCCCAGCTGCCGGGCCCGCCGCAGAGTTCCCAGAGCGTTCTCTGCGCATGCACAGGGAATGCTCTTTTACTTTGGGGGGGATTTAAATATCCCCAGTATGTTTTTTTAACTTTTTAGATTTTTCTGCACACCTGGGGACTGCTCCAAGTGTGCAGGAAAATCTCTCTGCCCCACAAGGGCCCCCGATGTGCGGATTTAGATATCCGCACGGAGGGGGCAACTTGGCTATTAGATATATAGATATGTATTGTAACTAATGCGAACATGGGGAAAGAACACAGGAAACTGGATGGAATTGCATTTAACGGGTGGTATAAGAGAATAGGATTCAGAATAGGAAGTAATTCTTGGTTAGCAATGCAGGGGAAACCTTTACCTTTACTATAATAGGACTTAGTGGAGGCGTTTGAGACCACTTTCTATTTATAAATAATTTTGGGGGTGAATAATATAATAGTGGAAAATAGGATCAATATTCTGTGTCATTGTCCACTACAGAAATTAATAAATTGTGAATGAAAAAAATACTAATTACACTCATAAAACAGTCATAAGAACATAAGAGACGCCAATGTTGGATCAGGCCAAAGGCCCATCCAGTCCAACACTCTGTCACACAGTGGCCAAAAATACCAGGTGCCATCAGGAGGTCCACCAGTGGGGCCAGGACATTAGAAGCCCTCCCACTGTTGCCCCCCCCCAAGCACCAAGAAGACAGAGCATCACTTGCCCCAGAGCCCCTATCTATACCTTGTGGCTAATAGCCACTGATGGACCTCTGCTCCATATGCCTATCTAATTCCCTTTTGAAGCTGTCCATGCTTGTAGCCGTCACCACCTCCAGATGACACATTAATTTTTCTTCAACCAGTCCCAGACAATGCTCCCTCTAAGCCGTGGGGTCTTGTGAGCAAAAATTCTACTTTATGAGCGACCGGCGTTAAAGTTGTGAGCGAGCGATTTGGCTGCTGCATCAGTTAGTTTGCTCCGGAGCCGCCCTTCCTGAGGTGAGACCAAAACGTGTGAGCCGGAGGCTACAAAAACTGTGAGCCGGCTCACACTAACTCAGCTTACAGGGAACGCTGGACTCCCAGACTATGTCATCTCGCAGGCAGGGGGACGAGGAGACGGCGGAAAAGGATGGAAAGAGAGAAAGGGGGAAGGTACCGGGCAGATAAAACCCGTTGCTGTCCTCAGCCAAAACCCTGGTGGAATAACCCTGCCTTGCAGGACCTGTGGGATTGCATTAAGTCCCTCAGGGCCCTGGCGTCATGTGGCAGGGAGTTCCGCCAGGCCGGGGCCAGAGCCAAGAAGGTCCTGGGTCTGGTCGAGGACAGCCGGATGTCTTTGGGGCCACGGACCCCCAGCAGGTTGTTTTCAGCAGAGTATCATTCCTCCACTTTCTCTCTTCCCTTCCCCACCCCCTCTGCAATATCACGGCTGAGACACAGTCCTCCCTAACACCAGATTACCATCACCATCATCTTTATTACTTTAATTAACTTGTATCCCTGCCCTGTCCCACGAGGATGGGGGATTGTGGGCGAAGGCACCCCAGCAACCGCTCTGCACCCATCCGTTTTAACACTGCCCCCTCCCCTTGCTCCGCAGGGCTCTGGGTGGACATGGAAGTTACTTACAGCGGGTCCCTGCAGATGACCCTGGAGACCAAGATGAACCTCTGCAAGCTGGGGAAGGAAGCCCTGGCCGAGGAGAGCGGGAAGGCGGACCCCGGCGGGGAAGGGTAAGGTTGCCGCCGCCGCCCCCCGCGAGTCTCCTCCTGTTTGGAAGGAAATGCTACGTCTGCCTCCCTTTGGCGTTTGGGAGCCGCCTGAAATCCAACCAGTACAGCCTCCCCAGCATACCAGAAATCCAATTAGTAGAGCCTCTCCAGCACACCAGAAATCTAACTGGTACAGCCTCCCCAGCATAGCAGAAATCCAACTGGTACAGCCTCCCCAGCATACCAGAAATCCAACTAGTACAGCCTCCCCGACATATCAGAAATCCAACTGGTACAGCCTCCCCGGCAGACCAGAAAGCCGACTGGTACAGCCTCCCCGGCAGACCAGAAATCCAACTGGTACAGCCTCCCCGGCAGACCAGAAATCCAACTGGTACAGCCTCCCCGGCAGACCAGAAAGCCGACTGGTACAGCCTCCCCGGCATAACAGTACACAGTGACGAAGACAGCTGCAGCGGATAGATCTGCTGGTGTTGCGTTTAGCCGTCACATTTTTATCCCATCCATCCAAAGATGAAATCAAGACAGTGTGATAAGGGGTCATCCCACCCACCCCCACTTTGTAGGCAACTAAAGCCCCCTGTCAGTTATATATTGTCTGGAGATCAGTTGTATCAGCAGGAGATCTCCAGGCACCTCCTGGAGGCTGGCAACCCTGCTTGGGACAGCCCACTGGACTAACAATCTCTGCTTCTCGTCCACACCAGCAACATTTCAAAAGTGGACCGAAATCAGCTAGGAAGGTTTTCCAGTCGAGCCAGTGGTTAAGTGCACGGACTCTGACCGGGGAGAACCGGGTTTGGTTCCCCACTCCTCCACTTGCACCCGCCGGATGACCTTGGGTCAAGTCACAAGTTCTCTCAGAGCCGTTCTCTCACGGGCAGTCCTCGAAAGAGCTCTCTCAGCCCCGCCTACCTCACAGGGGGGGGTCTGTTGTCACGAGGGGAAGGGAAAGGCGTTTGTAAGCTACTCTGAGTGAAGGGTGGGGTATAAATCCAATCTCTTCTTCTACTTCTTCTACTTCTTCTTCTTCTTCTGTAAAGCAAGCGACTAATATGCCCCCATGATGTTTTCTCTGAGTTTCCTCTGCACTGAATTCGGAGGGTTTGGGGGTATGTGTGAGAGGGATGCCGAGTCCAAGCGGCCACTGATGACAGCCCTTCAAAATGTCTGCAACTCTTCCCAGTACTGTATGCAGGACTGGCTCATCCAATAACAACCTGCTGGTAATCCCTGGCCCCAAAGAGGTCCGGCTGTCCTCGACCAGGGCCTTTTCGGTCCTGGCCCCGACCTGGTAGAACTCTCTGCCTAATACCACCAGGGCCCTGCAGGACCTTGTGCAATTCCGCAGGGCCTGCAAGGCAGAGGTGTAGAAAAAGCCCAGCAGGAACTCATTAGCACAATTGGCCACGCCCAACAGCAGAAACATATTAGCATATTAGACCACACCCCTGACAGCACAGGTCATTAGCATATGAGGCCACACCCCTGTGTTACCAGAAGTGTGCTCATCCAGCCACACCCACCTTTTGCTTCTTATTCTGTTTACCTTGTTTGTGGTCAAACCAGGGCTTTTTTTGTAGCAGGAACTCCTTTGCATGTTAGGCCACACACCCCTAATGTAGCCAATCCTAATGAGTGTCTGCTGTTGGGTGTGGCCTATTATGCTAATGAGTTCCTGCTGGGCGTGGCCAACTTGGGAGCCAGCCGGAACTCCTTTCCTGTACGTTCCTGCCCAAAAATAGCCCTGGGTTTTCGGTTGAGGGCAGCGATGGTTCTCCATTGTGGCTGGCACCCTCTTCTCTCCTCCCCCCTCCCACCTCTGAGCTTGCCCTTCCTCTCCCGTGCCCAGAAGTGGCCAGTGAGCCCAGAACTGTGATATAAATTCTAGAGACGCCAGTTTGGTGCAGCGGTTAAGTGCGCAGACTCTGATCTGGGAGAACCACGTTGGATTCCCCGCTTCTCCACATGCAGCTGCTGGTGTGACTTTGGGTCAGTCACAAGTTCTCTCAGAGCTGTTCTCTCAAGGGCAGTCCTCGAAAGAGCTCTCTCAGCCCCACCTCCCTCACAGGGTGTCTGTTGTGGGGGAGGGGAAGGGAAAGGAGACGGTAAGCCGCTCTGAGGCTCCTTCGGGTAGTGAAGGGCGGGGTGTAAGTCCCTTCTCTTCTTCTCTCAAATCTGGCTTTTAACCTTTCGTCTTAATTCTGTTTGTGATTGGAATTCTAACAGTTTTTACATGTGTCACTTTGCGCCTCCGTTCCGGCAGCCGGCCCACCCGCCGTTTTGGGAACGCTTGCCAGTCTGAGCAGCGGGAGCGTCAATGCCACGTTTTTAATGAGCAACACCTTTTAATTACGAGAGTCTGGGTGGGGGGGGACGACCGTGATTTGTGCGAGCAGTCCAGATGAGACTAGTCAGCTAACGGGTGCCGGGTGAGCTGGCCCCCAGGTTGAGTTTCAGCCCAATGAGGCCGATCGAGGAATGAGTGGAACGCACACACACAGCCCCGCCCCCTCCAGCCCCAGATCGGCCCAAGCCATCTGTCTGAGATCACGCTGGTGTGTCAGAACAGAAGACACGACAGCTGGGGAGTTATTCATTCTAGGAAAGAGGCCACGACAGAACCGCAAAGAGGATCAGGTTATGTGGGCTGTGGGCCCTTCCTTTGCAGTCTCTGGTTTCAGAGGGTAGCTGTCTTGGCCTGTAGCAGACCCGTAGCCAGGATTTTGTGGCTCGAGGGGCAATTTTTTTTTCTGGTGGGGCTGCCATTATTTGCCGTTATGAAGGGGGTGTGGCCTGCGCCCCTCTCCGTCCCCTCCTGCAAGATTTAAAGGGCCCTTCAGCTGATCCGTGGGGAGCCCGTGTCCATAGTAGACTCCAAAAAGGAGAAGTTCTCTATGGAAGAAGGTGTTCTAGCCAAGATCTTCGAGCCCAGAGGGGACGAGGCTTCGAAGATTGGTACTTGCGTTCTGAATTCAGCCGGAAAGTCTGCTTGCAATCGATAGCATTCTTGCAGATAACTCTGGGGGGAAAACTGATCTTGCCAGTTCATTTGGGACCAGTGGCACTTTTGGCCTTCAAGGGCAGCCCTGCATACACTACACTCAAGTAGTCTAGTCAGGAGGTTGCCGGGACATGCACAATCATGAGAGAGCCCCTACCCCAGGGGTCCCCAACGTGGCACCCCAGGGGTATCACGGCACCTGCCTTTCCTGGCGCCCACCAAGTGTTTTTCGAAAACTGGTGAAGCTGGTTGGGGCTTTTGTGGAGCAAGGTTTCTGACTGGCCACGGGAGATTTCATTGGTTTTGCAGTTTTAAAACATTGTTTTGGCAGCAGCTGCCACCACAGCACGAGGATCTTCACTGTGGGACGGAAGGTGACCCGCGGCATCCATTTTGTGTCTGGCTCCGCCTCCTGCAGCAGCCATTTTGTGTCTGGCTCCGCCTCCTGCAGCAGCCATCTTGCGGCTGATTCCACCTCCTGCAGCAGCCATTTTGTGGCAGGCGTCTCCAGCCAGTTCCTCCCTACTGTTTGGTGTAGTGGTTAGGTGTACGGACTCTAATCCGGGAGAACCGAGTTTGATTCCCCACTCCTCCACTTGCACCTGCTGATGTGACCTTGGGTCAGTCACAAGCTCTGGCACAGCTGCTCCTGAAAGAGCAGTTTGTGTCAGAGCTCTCTCAGCCCCACCCACCTCCCAGGGTGTCTGTTGTGGGGAGGGGAAGGGAAAGGAGTTTGTAAGCCGCTCTGAGACTCCAAGTGAAGGACGGGGCATAAACCCAATCTCCTCTCCTCCTCCTCCACTGCCAAGGAATCCTTCTCAGCCTCACCCTGTATACAGGTAAAAACCACTCTCTTAATCCCAGGGTTAAGGATTCCAATAAATAAGAAAGTCCTTCCCACCAGTGACACTCTGCAGTGGCAGATCTCGGCCTTTGCCAAAGATTGGTTTGCCGGGAACGGGGTGGGGGCCTTACCTCTCCTTCTCTCCCTCCCTGCAGTGTCAAGCCCCGGTTAGTCCTCCTGGCCGACAGCGATGCCGAGTCTTCCAGCGCCGGCTCCTCCGACGAGGAAGATCTTCCCGCCGTGGAGCCTTCAGGAGTCGCCGGAGACAGGAACCTCCCCCCCGGAGCCGAAGGGTACACAATGGACTCTCCCCCAACGCCTGCTCAGATAGGTCTACTTTCTCAATGAACTGGGGTGTTATCTGTAACACCCCAATCGCAGTTCCTTCTCTGCAGATGACCCTGGGGGATGCTGGTCTGTAGGGGTTGCCCCGAGGATCTCTAACGGAGAGAGCCGGCGTGGCATAGTGGTTCAGAGTGTCGGGCTCGGATGTGGGAGACCCGGGTTCGGACCCCCCGCTTATGCTACAGAAGCTTGCGGGGTGACCTGGGGCCCGTTGCGCACCCTCAGTCTAACCTACCTCACAGGGCTGTTGTGTGAGTGCAAAATGGAGGTGAGGAGAAGAATGCAAGCCGCTTTGGGTGCCCCTTGGGGGAGAAAGGTGGTTTATAGATGAATTAAATAAATAAATTATGCATTAAATACACTGCACGAATAAAAGAGCTCTCTCAGCCCCACCTACCTCCCAGGGTGCCTGTTGTGGGGAGGAAAAGGGAAAGGAGATTGTAAGCCACTCTGAGACTCTTCGGGTAGTGAAGGGCGGGGTATTAATCCAATCAATAATAAAAATGATGGCGATGATGATGATATTCCCATATTGCCCGTAGCCAAAGCTCTCTGGGCAGTTTAAAATAATATAAAACAATACAATACAACGAATAAAACATTAAGAATTACAAATGACATCCGATACGTAAAAACAGTAACGGACAATAAAACCGCACAAACGCACACCCTCGACACAGCTCTTTGGAGGGGCAAATCATGCCCTCCTCGCTAACCAATGCTCCGTCTTAAGCTGTGGAGTCTAATGAGCAAAAATTCTACTTTGTGAGCTCCTGGCATTAAAGTTGTGAGCGAGCGATTTGGCTCCGGCATAAACGAGTTTGCTTTGGAGCCCCCTCCTTCCCGAGCTAAGGCAAAAACGTGTGAGCCGGAGGCTAAAAAAAACTGTGAGGCAGCTCACACTAGCTCAGCTTAGAGGGGACACGGCTCACGACCGTGCTGAGGGTCAAAATTATATCACCGTCCTTTTCATCAGGGAATCAACCCCCCCTTCCAGAATCCCCCGAGCAAAGCAAGGGTAAGCAGAGCGGGGGCCGGCCGGGGATCCCACCGCCCGCAGAGCTTGCAACTCAACCTGCACTGAGCGTGCCGGCAGCTTCGTCCCCGTTCTTTGCCGACCCAGACTGACCCCCCCTCCCCGATTCTCTCCTCCCCCTTAGCCACGTCGTCGGCAACAGCACGAGCCGGAAGATCCTGCGCCTGGTGGACAAGATCGCCAAGTCCAAGTACTTCCAGAAGGCCACTGAGAACGAGTTCATCAAGAAGAAGATCGAGGAGGTCTCCAACACGCCGCTCCTGCTCACCGTGGAGGCCCAGGAGCTGACGGGCACCTTGACGGTCAACATCCCTCCGCCCCCAACGGACCGAGTCTGGTAAGAGACAAAGGGGGGGAAGAGGGGAACAGAGACCGTGGGTTTGGGCAGGGCTGGTGAGGGTGCCGGCAGGCGTGAGGATAGAGGGAGGCGTAAGAACTCGCTGAGCCAGATCAGACAGTGGTCTGGTCAGGGGTCGTTTCGTAAAAAAAGAGCTAGGGGAACTCATTAGCATAACTCATTAGCATATGCCACACCCCCTGACATCACCGGAAGTGTGTCATAAGGCCACACCTCCTGGCATCACCGGAAATGTGTCATAAGGCCACACACCCCGCCTCCAACGGTCCCGGCCACCGGTGCCGGCCTTGCAGCTCCACTGCCGAGCCCATGAAGGGGCAGCAGGGCTATTTTGGGGCAGGAACGCACAGGAACGGAGTTCCGGCTGGCTCCCGATTTGGCCACGCCCAGCAGGAACTCATTAGCATAATAGGCCACACCCAACAGCAGAAACTCATTAGGATTGGCTATATTAGGGGTGTGTGGCCTAACATGCAAAGGAGTCCCTGCTACAAAAAAAGGCCCTGGGTTTTGACAACAAACAAGGTAAACAGAATAATAAGGGAAAGGTGGGTGTGGCTGGATGACCACACGTCTGGCAACATGGGGGTGTGGCCTAATGTGCTAATGAGCGGTGCTGTCAGGGGTGTGGTCTAATATGCTAATGAGCTTATGCTGTTGGGTGTGGCCTGTTATGCTAATGAGTTCCTGCTGGCCTTTTTCTACAAAAAGAGCCCTGTTTTCAGGAGTGCCGCAAAGGAGCCCCACTGTGCAAAGAGATCCATACGGGTTTCTCTTGCCTCCCTTCTGCAGGTACAGCTTTAAGATACCCCCACAGCTGGATCTGAAGGTCCGCCCAAAACTTGGAGAACGGGAGGTCACCTTCATCCACGTGACCGAATGGATCGAGAAGAAACTCCAGCACGAGTTTCAGGTAAACCGCTGAGACCTGAGGCGGGTGATAATGGTAAAACCAAGACTTTATAAAACCATCCAAGAATAAGCATTAACAGAACCGGCCAGTATCTAATTTAGAATTAATTTTGGCCAAGATCACAAGTGCAAGGCGAAGAACGCAAGAGAAGTGATGAGCTGTTGTCAGTCAGCCTTCCCAAGCGTGGCCGTCAGCGGGTTCAGAAACTCGGTACGAGTTAGCTGCCTTTCTGTTGCTAGTGCTTCTACATTAACAGCAGGAGGTGGGGTGAAAAGCACTTTACGTGTGCACATTTGGACATGTATCTTTAAAACAAACCGGGGGGGACGAGCAACGAAGGGCAGTTCTATCAGCACACAAGACGGCTGAGTGGAACCTCCTGGCTCAGGTGCAGTCTACCTCAACTCCCTCCAGTCTCCAGCAGAAGGCAGCGCCGCTACACGAGCTCCTTTGGCTGTGGATGCTGGAATGCCTTCTAAGCAGTGTTCCCTCTAAACTGAGTTACTGTGGGCTAGCTCACAGTTCTTTAGCCCCCGGCTCACACATTTTTGCCTTGGCTCGGGAAGGAGGGCTCCAGAGCAACCTAATTTATGCAGCAGCCAAATCACTCTCTCACAACTTTAATGCAAAGTAGGATTTTTGCTCACAAGACTCCACAGCTGAGAAGAGAAGAGATTGGCTTAGAGCAAGCATTGCCTCTAAGTGCAGTTAGGGAGTGAGCATTGGATTTTCTGTACATCCGCCACATGAACTGAGGAACTGCGGGCCTGTTAAATAACAGACAGTGGGGCACAACATCTGGGGGGGGCGGCTGTTACCCCAGTGAGACAGTGGGGCACAACATCTGGGGGGGGCGGCTGTTACCCCAGTGACCGATTAGTGGGCATCTCAGGGGCATATGGCTTGCTGCAGCTGGTTGGACCTGGCGCCCCCTGGGTTCTCCT